CCCCCTTCTCCCCCCACACCCCGTCTCCCTGCAAATCTAGTCTTGATGCACTATTGTCTTATCTATGCTAGGGCTACCTCCACCATGCCCCGTGATGTCTTCATTACTCTTTCTGAGATAGTCTTCTGGGAACCGTCCCTGTCCTCACAGGGCTTAAAATCTGCTCTAGTGAACCAACATCTTTCCTGGCTACCTTTGACCTCCTAGCTTCTTGACGAATAGAAAGGGTGCATACCTTTTGCCAGCCTTTTGTTGGAGTCTGTGTTCAGCGTCCAGCTAGAGTGTCCAGAATTAAACGTTTGTAATCAAGTCATAAACATAAGTTGCATGCTTTCTTCTCCCTATGCCCACCTCATGATCCTGGACTGTATTCTCACAATCTAAACCTTTTCTGAGAAGTCTTTCCCCCTTTTTGTCATCCTGGACTACAAGCGTAGACAGGGAAAAGAGTTGCCCTGTGTCATTGTTCAGACAGAACCAGAAATCATGTGGACTTCAGAGCTGAGCGTCCCTGTATCAAAAGGGCTGCCTTTGTTTTGTCATTATCTAGGGGGCGGGAAGGCATCACATGCTTTGAAATGCATTTTAATGAATGTTTATAAGGTCATGGGGATCACATTGGTGGCTTTGTCTGCTGGATTATGAAATAGGACTCTGCAGGCACTTATGTATGGAGAGACAGTAATTCATTTCTAAAGGACTCCCTCCCTGAACCCCTCCACCAAAGGCAGGACCTGTGCCCTATCCCCTAACTAATTGTGTGACTGAAAGAAAATCATACCCCATTCTTTTTTCTATAAAAAGGGAAGCTTGAGGTATGCTCTTTTGAAATCCTGCCAGTGTCTACTGATTGCCACAGTGGGAGGCAAAAATCATGTGCAATACATGGCCTGAAGGAAGTAGGGACTGACTGGTAGCTAGGTACTGATAGCTTGCTGTCACCAAGGCCACAGAGACTGGAAAATGGCAAATGCATGAAGCAGCAAGATTCTCTTAGAAAAGTCTGGAAGCAGACTCAGAAGGAGGAGGGTGGGAAAGGTATGAAGGTTGAAAAATCACCTATCAAGTACAAGGTGCACCAGTGGGGGTGATGGGTACACTTAAAGCCCAGACCTCTTCACCATTAAAGAATGCATCCATGTAACCAAAAGCCACTCAAACCCCTAAAGCTCTTAAAATTAAAAATTAAATTTAAATTTTTAAAAAGATCTGAAAGCTTAGGGAGCCTTGAGAGGGGAAGTCATCCAAGAGCAATGAGCTGTCTGCTGCACTTGCTCTGGTGGTTGTCAGTCAAAAACACCTCAACTGGCTGAGTACAGTGGCTCACACCTGTAATCCCTGTACTTTGGGAGGACAAGGCAGGAGGATCACTTGAGCCCAGGAGTTCAAGACCAGCCTGGGCAACATAGTGAGACGTTGTCTCTATAAAAACTCAAGCAATTATCTAGGCTTGGTGGCATATGCCTATAGTCTCAGCTACTCGGGAGGCTGAGGCAAGAGGATCAGTTGAGCCAGGGAGGTCAAGGTCTGTCACTCCAACCTGGGTAACAGAGTGAAACCCCGACTCAAAAACAAACAAACAAAAACACTCCGCTTGGGCGAGCAGAACCTCAACAGCAGCCATAGGTGACCCAGTGGAGGCACCAGTGTGACACTGAGAACAGGGGAAAGCCCAGCCAGCTTCTCATGGTTGAGATTAGTCACAAAGCATGGGACTGTGAAAGAGGACACACTGAAGTGAGCCTTTTATCTAGGGACAAAATTAACTAGATAATAGATTTCCACGCCTCACTGAGGCCTGGGGAAAGCAGATTCTGTTACAGCCAGCCTGAGCACTTTCCTGTGAACATAGCCACCTCTCTTCAGCTGTGCTTAGGGTTGGCTGGTGTCCTTGTGCTCAGCCAGGGCCCTGCAGGCTGACTGTCAAAAGCTCACACCAATGGGAGGCCCAAACTTCACCTGTACGTTGACCACTTAAGTATCTAATCCTGAATTGTACCCCACATCTTTAAAATAAGATAAGTAGCCAGGCTCGGTGGCTCAGCCTGTAATCCCGCGCTTTGGGAGGCTGAGGTGAGTGGATTGCCTGACCCCGTGGGTTCGAGACCCGCCTGGGCAGCAAGACCTCATCTCTACAATAAATAAAAAAATCAGCCGGGCATGGTAGCGCATGCCTGTAATTCCAGCTACTCGGAAGGCTGAGGTGGAAGGATAGCCAGAGTGCAGAAGGTCGAGGCTGCGATGGCGGGGAGCCGCCACTACACTCCAGTCTGGGCGACAGAGTGAGACTCCAACTCAATAAAATAAAATAAGAAAAAAGAAAGCTCGCACCATAACATCCAAAGCACGGAGCTGCACACTGTCTACCAAAATGGAGGCTCAGTTAAAGTCCTTTCACAAAGGAAAATGCAGAAGACGCTGGCAGCCTCCCACTGTGCTAAAAAAATAGCCTCTGTTGCCCCGACCCCATGCCCCTGAGGACAGCAAGGTGAGCCTGCCGCCCTCATTAGGCTTCCTTCTGCAACGTTCTATGAAGCGAGCACACCCTTGGCGTAGCAAGGTGGTATCCGCTCCAGCAATGGGAGAGGCCTGGGATCAGTGTTGTTCACATCCTGGCTTCCCCACCTCTACACTGAAGTCCCAGCAGGTTGCTGGCACACCAACAGTTAAATGAAAGCTTTGGGAACCCACAGAGTCTGCCAGCAAATTCCAGAAGCTCACCTGGCTGGGATGCCAGGCTGCAGCCACTCACAGCCCCCGCCTTCCTTCCTCCCACTCCACCCCCATCTGATCCTTGGCCTGCGTGGTTCTGCATTGAATGGGCCATCATTAAATCCATCTTGCAGTTCAAGACATCATGAATAGCACATTGGGCCCAACCGCTGCCAGCTCAGACTCCCTGCAGGGGATCCTTATGTCAAACCCATACTCAATTATCCTTGATTATCTATTTCATAAAGTTCTATTTTTAATATATTGAAGTTCTCTAGATTCTCTAGGAGAATGTAGAAGAGACGAAATTTCAGTTTGGGACCCAGTGGCTTGTTTGTGGGCTACTCCTTAACTGACTAAGTGAGCGGCTAAGCTCCCTGTGTGCTGGGTCATTTGTGTTGCTTTGTCCACTGATCCATTCCGGTGCCATTTACTGAGCACCTGCTATGGGCCAAACACTTAGTGAGCAACCAGGACCCTTCAAGATCTGTCCTTTGTCACGCCAAGTACCAGTTAGTGAAAAGCTACTAGGTACCTCACAAGCTGCCCCATGACCCAAATGGTCAGAGCAGCAACATGAAAAAATAACTATAATAACATTCATTTTACACAGGCAGAAACTGGGGCTCCCAGAGGTCCAGGGGCAAGGCCAAGACCAGGGCCCTCTGCCACACCTCTTCCTCCCAAGCTCTGGGCCAGTGTTTTCTAGCCTGGCTGTCCATTCCGAGTCAACCACGAAACTATGGAAACACTCCTGGGGCCTGGGGCCCTCCCTGGGTGAGACTGAAGCTGTCGGCTTTTGGCAGGAGAGCCTGGAAACATGAATGTTTCCAAGAGACTTGGATGTGCAGCAGGGCCTGAGATGGGCAGCCCTGGGAATCCACTTCGATGTTCACTTGGCCATGAGAGGCAGGACCCTGTCGTGCTGTCCCCTCGCATGCCTTGAGTTCTCAGTGAGCTACAAGCTCACCGAACCAGGAGAGTCAAATGGTAGGCGGCATCAGAGGGTCAGCGTTGGATGTCTACTTCCAAAGCCCAAAAGGGACTTCATATATGACCAAGTGCTTTAAAAGAATTCTGTTTGCCCATTGGCATTCAGGTGATTTTCAGGACCCTCCCTTTCTTTCCTTATTCCGATCCTTCCAAGACATACTTCTTCACCCCCACTCCCTTCCCCCTTTTCCTGCTGACATGCAGGCCGCGATTGTTAACATGACAACCACGGATGACTATATGACACCAAGGAAGAGTAGGAAATACCACAGTACTGGTGACTTCACGTTGTTCCCAAAGACTTTGCTTCTAGAAAGGGTGGGCTTTTCCCCCAAGGTGCAGATTCCAAATTAGAGCCTTTTCCTGTTGATTAATATCTCCCAGCCTAAGGATGCATCTGCAGACAGGAATTTCTTATTTAGATAACTTATATTTTAGGGGGAAATTGTAAGTATTTCTCATTAAAAACAAACAAGCAACACAGAAATGTAGAGAATAGAAAGGGGCCTTTGTGGAGGGAAGAACCCTTGTAGTACAGGCCTCCCCAGCTAGGTAAGTGTTCTAGGAACCCATGTGTACCCACTGGTGTTACTGTATTGTGAGAGGCTGCATTTGGCTTCAGTGAATTTATCTTTGGAGATTCTTTCAACACGTTTGTCCATTTCATGATGAGTGATTTAAATGTTTTGCTGACGTGGAAGAGGTCAAACAAAAACAGCAGAAGCACTAAAAGCATCAAAATGGACGAGCGCAAAAACTGTTTTAAGCAGTGGAAAAAGCATCTCCATAGGTGTATTGCATCAAACGGAGAATACTTTGAAGATGACTGAAGTTTAAACATGTAAGAATAAATACGCAATTTTTTATCATTAAACTCCAGGGTCTTTGGGGTTCCCCCTCGTATATCTTAAACAGCTGCCCCAAAGAGCATCCAGACCTACTTCATTCTTGTAAGGGCTCCGTTGTTTTCTACTTTGTCACTGCAGCCTGATGCATTCCACCAAGACAGGGTGGCAGCTAAAATGTCCAATGTCTGTGTTATGTCTCTCCCTTGTTAAAATCCGTGTGTCTGAGGACAGGTAGGAATTAGAAATACTGAGGCCCTTCGAGTTTACTGTCCATACCTACCTTTAGTAGCATGCTTACATAGTGACTTATGTATGGTGTCACTGAACTCTCCTTGAGAGTTCAAAGTTCGCACGTGTTCAAAGTTCACACAAATTTCCATCCTGTTTAGCACACAGATAGCATAATGTCTTATTTGAAATGCAGCAAGACAGTTTACATGAAACACAGCAACAAAGAAACACGCACTGTTCTTCCTGAAATAGGCTGCATTTCATCGTTTGACAATTACGTCTTTAAACTGTGAGGTCTGTTTTATCTTACAGGTTTACTGTTAGCTTTACTGTGCCACATCTTTATAAAAATCCCTCTCTTTCTCTCTCTCTCCTCATCTCTCTAACTCTCTCTATCTCTTGTCTCTTGTCTCTCTATCTCCTCTTCTTGTCTCTTCTCTTCCAACCACAGGGACCCACTAAGAGGAGACAGGAAGGAGACAGCTTTCAGTTTCCAGGCATGGCCGACGGGGATTACCCAAATAAAGTTAAGAGGCCCTGCCTTGAAGATGTCACCTTTGCTATGGGCCAAGGTGTCCATCCCAGTACCCCGTGCGCAGAGCTGCAGGTTCCTCCAATGACAATGAATCCTACCCCTGCAGCTATGGGAGTACCTGGCCAGCCTGTACCCAGCCAGCCGTTGGTCTTGGAGAGCAACCCCATGAATGGTAGCATGATGGGTCCACCATATGTGGCACCACCAACCCCAGACGTGGGGCTGAAAGCACCCACTGCTCCTTACTATGACAAAGTTAACAGCGTGCCAGCTGTAGACCAGGAACTTCAAGAACTGCTGGAGGAGCTGACCAAAATTCAAGAACCTTCTCCGAGTGAAATCGATCTTGAGAAAATACTGGGCAGCAAGCCAGAGGAGCCAGTGGTCTTAGATCACCCCCAGGCAACCCTAGGCACAACTCCCAAACCTCCGGTTCAGATGCCACACGTGGAGAGCCCGACTTCCAGCAAGGAGTTTGCTGCTAGTTGCAGTCAAGTCCCTGGTGTGCCACTTCAGATGCCGCCCTCCTCCACAGGGATCAGCTATCCCATTCCTTCCACCAGTAAGCAGATGGTCTCGCCCAGTTCCTCGACAGCGCAGGCCAAGAACCAGGCCCAGGCCATGCACCCCGTGGCGGTGCCCCCTTTACCGGTGCCCCAGTGGCATCATGCCCACCAGCTGAAGGCGTTGGCAGCCAGCAAGCAGGGCTCTGCTACAAAGCAGCCAGTGCCCCCTCCTAGTTGGTCTGGTATGCCTCCTCCAGGCCTCTCTCCAGGACTGTCTCCACCGTACCGCCCGGTGCCGTCGCCACACCCGGTGCCGTCGCCGCACGCGGTGCCATCGCCGCACGCGGTGCCGTCGCCG